AAATAGATTAAAAGTAGTTAAACCAAAGAAACAAGGCAGAAAAGATGGCAGTTATGAATATCTGTGTTTTGGCTCTCAAAGATTTAACTAAATTACAACAGATGTAAGATTCTTAGGAGAAACAGCTTCTGCTTGAGTTAGGCTTTCTGTAACTCCAGCAATACAATTAAGTCAGTTTTAACTGATTCATCTTATTACTGGAACAGCTTCCTAAGAAAATTGACAAAGTTACACTGAACTAAATGGTTCCTAAACCAGTTTAATAGCTACTGTGGATCTGGCACCAGAATTTCAGAAAGACTCAAGACAGAATAGTGTATTTTTGATCTTTCTTATGCCAAAGGAATATTGCATCATATGCAGAAGTGATGTCTTAAGACAGGTTTCCACAAACCAATGCGGATGCTAGCTTCAAAGTACAGGCAGAGCATTGCTTCAGTTGACCCTCTCTTACAAATAGTTTATGTTCTTACGGTACAGGCATGATGCTTTCTAGGGGAGAGGCGTGTTGGAGAGAGAAGGGAAGAGACAGGGATGGAGGGATCCACCTCTAGCTTAGAGTCAGGAGTTCTAATACAGTAAGACCTCATACTTTTAAGAGTCTATCCTATAAAGCTCACAAGTCAAGATACCGTACTGCAAACCAACAACAACAGTTTTCCCTGAGTGCAGGTTCAACAAGTCTTTATACTATGAAAAAGTAGGAAGAGGAAACATTTATGCTAGTAAGCAATAAAAATTCTCTAAGTCTCAAGAATGGAAGTAACTGCAGACAAGATCTCACTAGCTATGAATGGGAGAGCTGGAAAGGCTCGTTAGTAAAGGCTGTTTCAAAGTAAAATGGTCACACGTTTAACGGGGCTGCTAGTAAACATTCCTCTCATTTAACAGAACACCTTTCATACTGAGCCACGTGAATAAGCAATCTGAAACTTCAATACGCACACAGTCTAGTTCTGATTTCATATGCTGTTGGGAATCCAGAGCGATTCTGAAGTCTGTCATATCAGCATAAAGTGGAAACACAATTTCTCAAAGATCAGAGCACTTACAGATTTGGTTAGTGCATGCAGATAGAGAACTTCTATATCCAGTTTCCAGTTGGCTTCCCTTCATTGACATAGATGTAAAAAATAAAAAAAAAACACCAAAAACCCCATCCCAGAACCGACCCCAACTGCAGGGGCAGTGAGTTACACATCATTTTGGACAGATAGAGCCTTACCTAAATTGAGACAACTTTCAGCACGAAAAAAAGATACAAATCCATTACTTGTATGAAACATGTATTGCAAAATTAAGTTGGGTTTCAACGATCCGCAACAACATCCACAGCTATATAGTATTAAAAAAACCCAAGTGTGGTGGTTCTTCCATTCAAGTAAAACTAAGAGAAAGAAGTTAAAAAATAAAATAAAATCTCAGAAGCAGCAAGTTACAATTCTTTCTGTAATATCACACCATTTTCATTAACTTGAAGCATTTTCAAGATGTCAAAGACATCAACAAAATTATAATTTCAAGTGGCTTTTTTGATATTTGTTTTCTGAATGGGTCCAGCCCAGGTCTGCAACCTGTACAGACATGCAAGAGAGGAGGAATTCACAATTATTAAGAACAGACATTTGAACACGCCAGTTATAAAATGACAAAGCAAAGAAAATACCTTCAAATTGTCAACAAACACGGGCTACTGACCGCTGAAGGGGATTTACTATTTTACATAAAAGTTGGGAAAAAAGCAAACCAAAACCAAACCAGCAACAGCAAGGTCATCAAAGTCCTCTACAAGCTTGGTATTTTCCATATTGCCCGTAATATGCAAGCTCGTATCTTCTCCACTCAATGCCAAACCACCACCAATTTTGGGTTTATTTAAATGTTTTGTTTTAAATCGTTCCACCTAGGAAACTCTATTACTGCACCCTTTCAGAACAGAAAAGGGTGCATATATAAGTCAAGACAGGTGCTTTAGGGAAGCAAGGGATACATTTTTGAGAAGAACTACTCAGCAGCAGCCTGCTCTGTCATTAAATCAAACATTGGTTCACAGTTGAAAAAGCTACTGGTTTTAAACTTGTATTTCACTAAATCACCATTTAGTAATGCTTTGTAATAAAACATACGGACCAACCCTGGGCTCCTTACTCTGGCAGTCCTACTACAAAGTTTTGCAGGAGGAAGGTGTTCGAATTCAATGCAAGCTCAAAATAAGCTACTTAGTGTTTTCTGCAGCTGATGCTCAGAATAAAGGGAACATTTTCATATCTGCATGAAGGGGGACTAGTTAAAAAATAGAAATGCAGATTTCCAAGCAACCTCTGTAAAAATCTAGAGCTCAGTTATAGGTGCTTTCACAGTCTGTAAGCAGATCTTTCTGACGCTGAGAACAGATGACATCCTCTCATTTACACCACTGTCAGTAAATAGTACCTCCCCTATCTGCAGCGAAGTTCCATCAGCACAAAACTGGCATAACAGGATAAGGTAATTAGGGTTCAACACTCTAAAGCTGAAAAAAGAATTATTCATTTTTTCCTGAAACACTGGCATAATTTTTTTTCAAATGCCCATCCTGGTTATTGTAAGAACAACTGCTTAAAGGCCATGAGCTTCTACTTTTTTGTTTTTTTTTAATTTAAAGACTATAATTATCCCAAATCGTATTATGTCTGTATCACTATGATGCTTCCTTTCTTTTACTATTTGATGTTCATAACTCATATAGCTTGTGCACAGCATCTAGTCGCAGTAACTTTTGAAAAAAGCCTGATTCCTCATACCCTTCTGTCTGTGCAAAAAGGGGTGCAGAACACTGGATGCTTGAACTGAAAGACATTTATACTTATATTTACAGAAGTAAAAGGCTGGAAAGGGGCAAAGCACAAAAGTTGGGCCGATAACATCTGATAAATCTAATTGAGCTTTTCATCCAGGCTGGAAGAGGCTGACCATCTCTTAGGTACGTGAGGTAAAGCATTGCTTCAATACCAGATAAATAAGAATAATATAGCACCTAATGTGGTATTTGTGCACCAGTTTTACTCAGGTAAATTAAGAGTTACAGCCAAAAGGGTTTCAGATCATGAACTAAGTTTCAATTTAAACTAAGCCACGTTTTAAAAGAGCTAAACCATTAGTGTATTGACTGCAAAGTAATACATGCAAGGGTCATTTTGCTCTAGAAAGTATGACCAAGGTTAGCAGGAGTTAAAATATTCATATGAACAAAAAAGAATATGTAACAGTCAATAAAGAGAGTAATGGGAAGTCTATTGGACTACTCCAAAATACTTAGTAGAGCTAAGGAAATAAAACTTCACATTGTCCATACTATTCTTGGAACTCCTGTAGTTTTCAAAAAAACAGATTCCCCCCCACATCATCAAGTATCCACGTGTGCAGTACCCAACTGCAGGATCTTGACTATGAAAGTGTCTTGAAAGACCAAAGTCTTGGCTTTATAATCCCCAAAGTCTTTCAGAACGTAATTGATTGCACATCTTTAATATATTACAATTTGCTAAATGAAGCCACCCACTCATTACCTCATCAGTACAGCCTGCACAAAGTACACTTTATTTATATACTTATATTCTAACCTAACACTAGCTGTCAGCACATTTTATATTACATGTGGTATTGCACTTTCTGAGCGGCACCTCGGTGCATGTTTGCAAATGAATGAGCTGAACCTCCAAAAGCCCCAAACCTTTGGAATTCACTCCAAGTGCTGCCAATCGGGCAAGTTTAAAACAGTAGGGTGAACATCACCCTTGGAATCATGGGCTTCACTAATTAAAAAAAAAAAAAAAAAAGTATCTGTTTAACAATTAGAAAAACAGTCCTACCTGAAGTTGTGCATAAGGGCAATCTGAAATCCTCAGTACTCTGAACAGTTTCAAAAAGTGGTGCCAATTGAACTGATTGCACACATCGTAATTGTGTTAGGAGGTCAACAACTAGATTTACAAATATATATTACACACACACAAAACAGAGCTATAAAATGTTTGGTAACTCCACATGCTTTGAGCTAGCCAATGTATCTGCCGTATGTTGAACTGCTTATTAGCGACCATATTGAAAATCTAAATTGCTATTTCTGATGTATCTGTTACTGGGTTAAACGACCGCTTCCAAAGGAAGGAGGAGGAGGAGAAATGGTGGACCTGAAGATTGAGGGTTTAAATGTTATGTTCCTTTAATAGCCAGCATATCACTTCAGTAACGTGAAGAGTGATGCCCAAAAATTTTTGAAGAGACTTAGGCCAAGTTCACCTCTGGCATTAGTGGGTGGGTGTCCCACCACTTCCGTGGTACTTGTGTCCTCTTTCACCAGGGTGGAATTTGGTCCTAGGAGTATATCTGGTCACCTTCAGTGACGTTAATGGAAACGGGAGTCTTGGACAGATAGAACTGGGCTGCAAAATTAAAAGAGTGAATATTGGACAAATCATGTAAATAAAGAATATATATTAATAATAGTTCCTATTATATAAATAGCCTTTATAAAAAAATAATCTTTCAATAATTTTAATAACTCACCTTTCTTTAGGTTCTGGAAAACATGTATGAAAAAAATCTATTCCGTTCAAGTTAGATTAAAGCAAACCTAAGATGAACACTACAACTCTCTGTTGCACTAAACCCAATTCTAACCATTCAATTTCCAGGTTAGTCAGTTTTTGGGGATGATGGGGAGTTTCTCTGTGAAGGTATGAATTGCACCCCTAGAAATACTGAGCAGAAGAAACACTATACTGAATGGGCCAATTTCCTACTGCTTTCAGAAACTGTGCATGTGATGGACCCAGAAATCAAAGGGTCATCTAAATCCTGTAAATGTTAATGCCTCTGAGCACATTTAAAAGGCACTGTCCTCTCACAATTGTTTTTAGATCTTTGAGCTTAAAACTCCCTCCTTTCAGACCATGCTGCATTTAAATAGTCGCTTTTCTTCTCAATCCAGCACAGTCTCTACTTGCTGTACCAGATCTAAGGTAACATGTGATGGACTCTACGTTCACACTAGCACTATTTTCTTTTTCCTTCTAATTTATCCTACCAAATTAGAAAAGGAAACATTCTTCCGAGTTTACCTTTTTGGGCTTAAGGCATAACATGAAGTCACACATCATACTAAAGCTTATTTTTTTGAAGTGTACAATTTTAGTGCTATCTGAAACCCTGTTTTACATTATTTTTGGACAGCTGTCTGAACAGTTCATCTCTTTTCCTGCCATAAATTCTAATGTTGTTTATGGTTTGTGCAATTCCTATGCAACCAGTCTTTGCTGCTAACGGGTATTAACAGTGCAGTACCCACAAAGCGGGCTATCAGTTCTTGTTTTCTTTGCTTGCATTTCAGTTCAAAGCATGTTGCTTTATTGTGTGGAAGATCCAGTCCATTTTTGTTGTCCAGCCACCATGGTGAGCATCATTCATTTGCTTCATGAAGTACTCAAGAGCCTCCTGCTCAGTTTTGTCCAATGCAAGGGTCTTTCGAATGTATGCAATGTCATCAAAGGACTATTCCTGAGCCAAGCATCATGGAGAAAAGGTTTATGAAGAGGTTGGCATGCTGCCGAATTGCTAGATAAGCCTTATAGCACATCTCCTGAAACCTGGAAGAGACGTGGAAAAAAGTGAGAAAAAAATGTTGAGTATATTTTCCTATTAGATGCATATTACTTCTTCACCTCCAAAAGAGTTTTCAGGTAACTGGACACTAAAAACGGAGACACATTTAGTCTCACAAGAACACCATAATGTTGCTGAGAAAATATACTCAACTTCCTACTTAGGTTATCTTCAGTTCTGTGAGAATTAGTGGTGGTCAGACTAACAGCCAAACTGCAGATGTCCTTTCTAGCCTTAAGCCTCACTTGCAATTCACACGAGGATTTAACATGAGCTTGTGGCAGTTCACAGAGGCCATATTTCAGATTTCAAAGAGCGTTTCCTGACATACTGCTGCAACCAGTGCTTTCCTGGTTATCATCAGAGATGCACCTCGCTAGTGTTGTTCTGAAGACAGTAGCTGTTGCTCTTCCAATACTCTGCAAAATGCACTGAAGACAGGCATTTGCTGTATCAGAGCACTGGGTGACAAATGCCCATTTACACCAAAATCACTAACTTAATTTGGGTTAAGGAAAAAAATATGCAAAAAAGTTTCACTGCAGCATTCACACAAACACTGTAACTTGAAATCCCCAACATAATGAAATTAAGATTAAAACTGAAATCTCGCAAAGACTCTGTTTCTTAATATCTGGAAAGACAGATATTAAGAACAACTACAGCATTCCAGACAGATATTAAGAACAACTACAGCAACAGATTCTTAAATGTATTATTATTAGTTCTACTTTCTTAGCAGGTTCTGCAGAATGTCACAAACTACACAGGCCAGCTGAAGAGCTGATATCACAACAGCTAGAGGAGAGAGAGTGAGCAGTAAGGCTCTGAGGTGCATTACACTCAACATTTAAGGTCCCTTCCAGCCTTGGCCATTCTATGATTCTACGATTTCAGAATTCCCAGTTTTTGTAGTTATACAATCCCAAGAGGATTTTTTAAAGTGTTAAATAAAAAAAAAAATCGGATATTTAAAAATTGTTCTTTATTTACCTTTATTCACATGTGTGTTAACTCTGCAAAGTTAAAGTGAGGTTTCATGAACCAAAGCCCATGTAAGCACTAAGATCACCTACTGATTTACAAGTGTGTGGCTGATCTTCAGCTAAAGAATTAGCAAGCCAATTAAAATACTACTTTTCAGTTCAAAGGTCTAATAATTAAAGGCCACCAGTAGTAAAATGCATTTTAGGTACAAAATACTCTTGAAGTTAAATGCTTAGAAAAGGCTCACCTTTCAAACTCCCTTGTTTTGGTACATTCTTGGGCTCCTTTACTAATCACTATTAAAAAGTCTTGTGTTAAGACAAATGGCACACGCTCTCTTTTGTAACCAAATTTTTTCTTCTTGTGATCAAGGAAGTGCCCAAAGTCAATGTGAAACAGCTTGGAAAGACAGAAGAGTAGATTAAGGTTAGTAATTCCTTGTTTAAATGATGTCATAGTAAAATTGATAATTTACTTATAGTTCAGATAGATTTTTTTTTTTAATTTACGGAGTTTTTTTTTTTTAAACTCCTATCAAAGCAAGAGGTGACACAGACTATAATTTCTGAGAGGTGTATCTTACTTGTCCATCATCTTTCACCATGATGTTACTATTGTGGCGATCGCCAATGCCCAGTATAAAAGTAGCAACACAGTAGCCGGCACAAGAACGTGTAAACAAGTCAATGGCTGCATCATACCTATTAGAAACAAAAAAAAATTGAGACGTTTTCATACCAATATCCTAATAATACAAAAGTGCAGATTTTATTTTTCTCTTCCTCGTGAAAGAAGAGAAAACTTCTCTCAGTTAAGCCACTCCTGGACTTTACCACTTTATCCAATTAAGGAAGAAATTCAGCATACTCCGAAAACTGCAGTGCTTAGATCATAGAACAGTAAACTAACGACTAAACTGACCCTCTTTTGAAGGCCAGCAGTTTCCATTTTGATGAGCTACTGTTAAAATACAGACTTGAGCCATATCTATGTTCTACCTCCAAGTTATGCTTTACTGCTGAGAAGACACACAACCACTCAAACTCATTAGAAAAGCTACAAGCAGGAATACTAACCAATCAAGGGCGGGGAAAACAAAACAAAACAAAACAAAAACCAAACCACACACCCCCCCAAAATAAAAGAAATGGACATAATTTTCCACTTGATGAACTTCAGTTCCCTTGAAGTTTCCATCAAAAAGAGTACATGAACAAGAAAAACAAGCAACAGGAAATCTCACATTTCTCCTTTGTTCTTGTCCTTGAGCCACTGATGCAACGTGTGGCTGTTGAACTGCAACGCTCCCTTCAGGCCTCCTTTACACTGAATCTGCATGATCGTGTGTGAGCTCCTCACTACCTCAATGAGTCCCACGCAGTCACCAATCGACAAACAACCATAAGGCAACATCCTGCAAGACCAAAGTTTGGGTTTTTTAGGTAAAGGTGTGATTTGGAGGTCAAAGAAAAACAGTGAGATCCAGCTATTTTCTTAAGGATGTAGAATAAAATTTGGACTGTCAGACTTTCTGTACCATAGAGACATACGGTTTAATGGCCTTAGTGGGATAAGCCACAATTTCTAGATCCTTAATTTTTTTTTCCCAGTAGTGTAATCTGTAGCTCACTCAAGAATTGGAATCCATCATCCTCATCCTCCACGCTGATTTCAGTCTTTCAGTACAGCAGACTGACAGCTTAGAGTTTTCTGCTTCTAATCAGCCTGTCACACCATACTCACTCAACTCTGAAACACCATGCTGCCTCTTTTAGAAGAGTGGTGAAAAGAGGTGGAAGAAGAGGTATTTTTTCACATTTCCATAGCTGGCTACTCTTTGAGACATGGGCACTCTGAACTGTAACTCTACAAACCCTTCCTGGACAAAGCTGCAATTCTGTCACTCCTTAAAGTACTAGAAACAAAATAGTTTCCTGAATGCCTGGGAGATGGGGTAAACCAATAGGTCTTTTTTTTTTTTTAATCTCCTCTAGATGATGAGGACTGGCAGTGCAAAGAACATATTTGGATTGACAGCACAGAGGCAGCTCTGTTATGCCACCACCTAAAAATCTTCCAAACAGCAAACACATATTTGGAAACGCAACCTGTCTAGCATCAGTTTTCCAGAAACAGACTAGTTTCTACCAAATGGCATTCTGCAGAAGCTCCTGCACCCACAGACTATTTAGAGGTGGAAAAGCTGCAGGCACATCAGACTGGGTATCTACTGAAATAAAAATACCAACTACAAAGAGTCATCGCTCAGCAGCACTGCAAGTTTGGCAACTTGTTCAAAGCAAATCCTACCGATCCCATGAGTAGACTCTAGTGGGGCTAGTGTGTGTTAGCTCTTACAGCCACTTCTGCTCTTTTGAACCCTTACACCCACTTGAGTCAGATTTCAGCTTTTTTCAAATACGATCTTATCTTTACATAGTTCAGTAGTTTAGCTAACTGGAGGTTATTAAAAAAAACAACAGTAAGAAATAGCTCCAACACATACAAAACTGGCTATTTATAGCATTGCATTTGTTACACTTGGGAGAACAGAAGCCATCTGGCAACAAACACACACAAACCCCATTAAGAACAGTATTGCTTGAGAACGACCTCTAATGCTTACCGAAGATCGAGACCCTGATTTTGCCAGATGTTTTCCATAATTCTAATTATCTGAAGTGTCAGCATGTCCTGACGCAAGTCTGGAATAGTCAAATATACAGAAATTGCAAATTTCATAACCCCAGAACACTTTTTAAAATCTTATTTTACTTTTCCCCCAAAAAGTAAGTCCAAAGAAATGAGGCTTGTATAGTTTAGTGTAGGTCTTCTCCTAACAGAGAAAAACAGATTTGAAATAATTGAGAGGTAACATAAACTTGTGGTGGCTATTTCAAAGCTGTTGAAAAATATACACTAAAATCAGGACAGTGGAACTCTAGATCACACATCTGTAATGTCTTGAAGATATTTTCAAGTAAAAAAATCTCAAAGGTATTAAATAATGTTCCACTTTAACATGCTGAGCATTTTAGAACATACACAATTTGTACATGACAGACAAATACTTATTTGTGCATGGTTAATTTTTCAAGAAAATTGCTTTGCTCAGGTGATTTTAAATTTTTTTTTCTCTCCAATATATGTATTTTATATGCTTCGAAAAAATACTGAACAGGTTAGAAAAATAAACAGATATGTAGATTCTGGATTACACTTATCTTTCCTTACCATCTCCATTTTTAAAGATTATCTCATTGTTCTGAAATAACAATTCAGACATAATATCTGGGTTTTCCCAGTTCAACCACAGGGGCCTTTTTGCAGATGACATTATCCTGCACTCCTCAAGCCTATAAGAAAAGATAAGGTTTCTATGAAATCGGCACAATTTGATTCTCATACCATGTTTCTGTAATAGTACTAAGTTCTCTGTGTTTTCTTCAAACTCGCTGAACTAATATCAAATTAGAGATGCACAGGCAACCAACTAGTTTCAGCTTCAAACTTAAATTAGTACGTGCAAGGTTAGCCATTGGCTAAGCCCCCCCAACAAGCTGGCTATGTGTACATCTTCCTCTGGCAGTTCCTTACAAATGGAAAAAGGACTGAAGTTCCTGTCACCTTAACGGAACAGCAAAAGCTTCCTCACTCCATTACTCTGCTACAAATTTTATTCAGTTAACTTTGAAGATACTAACATTTGGTATGCTAACATTTAACACTGTTAATGTTAACATTACTAAGCATTTACTCAAACATCTAGCCAAATTTCAAAACTGAAGACAGTACCGAAGATTTCCCAGTTGATGCGCAGGATTAAGAGGAGAGATAAAACCTTGTAAAGCATCCATAAAATCTGGCCGTCTCATTTGTTCAACAAGAAACTTCATCTGTACCTGATAAATAATCACACATTCCAGTTCTGAGAACACTAATTACACATAAATGAAGGTAAGTATCAGATTTTAGCTTTGGTTTCAAAGCAAGGTTTTGCACAGTTCCAACACAAGCAACTCCACCATATATTACACAAACGGAAACCCGTAACATTACTGTATTGCCTTGAGAGGCAGACAATGGCAATGCACAGAGAAAGTATTTCAGCTTCTAAGATAACACTATCTAATGAAGTTACCATTAATTATTTTCTAATTAATAAAACAAAACACAGTTCAAAGTAATTCCTGTGACTCAACAGCAACAGTTTTGGTATGTGGACAGCTCATAATACCTTCTGGGTCTCATCTTTTTTTTCCTGCTTGAGAATATCTGTGAGGTTAATCAACTTCTCCATAGCCTCCACCTGCCTGCTCAGATGCTTTAGGTACATTCCACACGCTCGACAATAGGACTCCAGAAGTAAACCAAACCTCTGACTTACAGTTTTATTGTGCATTTCAGACCTACACAGAGAGGAAGAATAGTTATAGCTTAAAGACAAAGACTACTCAGAGGTGCCAAAAATGATGCTACACCTGTAACATCTTCCTGAGGGCTGCATATGGATCCTTCTTTTCAGGTAAGTCACTTGTACTGACCTCCCAAAGCTCATCTCATTTTGGCTGGGCTGATCAGACACAGTAGCATTTGCAACTACTTCAGCACAGTTTATAGGCTTTTTCCCCACTCCTTCTTGCTCCATCCTGTCCTTTTCTACTCCATGCTTCCCAGAAACTCTGTAGTAAACCTCAAGCTTTCAAGTTCCAGATTTCTTTGCCCAGGCTGTGCCCCCTCTATTTTTCTTGGTTTTACCTACTTTGTGCCTTTGCACAGTGCTAAAATACATCCCCTCCAACAAGCTGATGAGGCAACTTACTCCATCATCCTTGATGATTACCAAGGGGAGTGGAAAAACACCACCCCAAAGATTCCTTGATCCTGTTTCTGTGTCTGATCACACTAACTTAGAACAGCATTTTTAGGTAAGACCTAGCTACAATCCAGTATGCAGGAGGGTGATTTATGCTCAGCTTTCTCAACACCAGGAATTACAAATGCTCATGTTATACTTCGTAAGGAAGCACACTGAGTTACTTTGGTTCCCTATGAAGTCTTTAACAAGCATGTACGAACTGCTATTTTCAAAGCCTTATCTGGTCAATCTTTAGGCCTCGACTATTTGTACATTTTCTGGACAAAACTGGTAGGGGATCTGGCATATATAATCAAACAGCAGGAAACTGCCAAAGAGTTGTCAACAGTTAACAATACAGGAGGCTTCTGGCAACCTTAGTTAGGCTACCCTGCTTTTAGAATAATCATCATCAGAGGGTAAGAAATACAAGACTAAGTTTCTATTATTAACTAGCTACTGAAACTGCAAAAGATGACTTCTATTACCAAAATACGCATTCAAACTCTTAACCAATATAAAGCAAACTTTAAGTGCTAATCTTTTCCTAAAGAAAAAAAAAAAGACATTTAGCATGCCAAATGCTGTTAGAGTATCTAATTGTTTGCAGTTAATAGGAAACTCACCACCCCTTAACATGATATTAAGCTTACTTTAAATGCCAAAAGAAGAAATGTCCTATCCTTTGATTGGTCAGTGCCTTCTTGAGTAAAAATCTCACAAGCTGATTATCCAAATACTGTTCATATTTCAGAACCTAGTTAAGGATGAAGAGAAAATAAAAATAATCAGCCGTCATTATTATTTCTGTGAACAATATGCAGATTACAGGCAGTTCAATAAAAAGCAATGTGTTTTACACCAAAGTCTGTAGAATGACCAATCTTGGTATTATTATTGGCATGTGTTAGGAACTGAACAGTATCTGCTAATAGCGCATCGGCTGCCTCTATTTCAGGAACTCGCCATCTGATGCTTCCTTTACTGTTACCAAATATTTTAGCCTCAACTTGCTCAAAATTTTGAGAAGATGCTTTTTCTCATACTTCCCCATATGTCAGGACAGCTGAAATAGCTGCCTGTTCCAGTTGGTAGAACAGTTCTGCATCTCTGCAGAATTTTGGCATTTAACATCAACACGCAAAGCCACAGCACTACAGAAAATGATCCTACTGAATAACCCACAGGGCAAACAGATACTTGATGACCTCTTTTGAACATTCTCTTAACTCTTGTTTTATTTGAAGCCCCTGTGATCACTGACCATACACAAGACATCAAGTATACCAAACCATGTTAGATACCTGTACTAGTTGAATTAAGTATTGGGACAGTTTGTCGTCTGTCAAAGATTTCTCCAGACACCGAACTGCAAAAGCTCGCACCATTGGATCTGGATAATTACAGTCCAGAAGCTCCATTGCTTGCTCTGGCTTGATTGAAGGCCAATCTTTCACCAAACAGTACATCTGTGGACAAAAAGTCCAAGCACGTTGCACATTTGCATTGATTAGGAAGAAGTTGTTAGAAGGGATCATCAGACACAGACTGCATCTCAGTAGAAGCTGTTTAATCAGCAGCCCTCTCTCAATAAACAACGTGGTATTAGTTGCCAGCTGACTTTGTTATTTTATTCACTAGAGAAGTAATGAAAACAAAACTTAAGCTATAACTGCAATTGACAATCAGCAACATAACAAGGATTCAAGTAATGTCACCAAGAGGAGATCTCAAGACTCAGCCTGAGCTGAAAAAAAAAAATCACCCTAAACTATGGGCCAGACTGACTGGTCCATTACAGTGGCAACTTGAATCATCTTAAGTTTTCATTCAATTTACCATGCACACATAACACGTTTTTAACTTCCAGAACTTTTTCTTTAAACAGCATATTTTTAAGATTCTTCAAAACTTAAATCTTATACAGTAGTATATGTTACCTGAGCCACTTCATCTCTAGAATTCCACTTAACAGACAAAAGTAATTTGGGCAGAATTTCTGGAGTATTCACACAATAGTGTCTGCAAAAGAGAAAAATGTAAAATGTCATTTTTGCTTCAACAGCCATCTATGTCCCCTCAGTCTTGAACCTTCCTTTGTCATCCGAATCCAACTGATATCATAAGGTGGTGTTAGGATCCATGTGTGAAGGTAAGATTGCAGCAATGCTGAAAATGTAAAATACTTCGACAACTATTGTCCATAGGCTTGTGCACCAAGACACACAACGCAGAATGCTTTTCAAGCCTTTTAGAAAAGAACACAAAATAAGAAAAAGGGAGCAAAACCCACAGCAAGTCATGACAAATTCTGAGTGAATGGAACAGAGTCTGACTGTGACAAGAAGGGTGGGGTTTTTTTAAATACCTGTGGCTCCAGAGAAAGTCCTTCTCTTGCTCAGTGATTTCAGACAAAGGATCTCGTGTACAGATGGCTCGAAGTTGCTCCTTGTCACTTTCTCTTAATTCATTATCTCTAGCTATTCTGTTACTCTGCAGAGAAAAAGTGGCCAGTTAACCCTCCATGCATTTTCTTCTCCGGTCATAGAACATACATCAAGTATTTGAGCCGTACAGCAACATACACAGTCCGTCACACAATACTATCGTGTTGTTTCCTGTTTTTATAACTGAGGACTTAGAATTTAAAAAGAGATGAAAGACCAGATTTCCTTTCTGTAACTGCTTTTAGTCAGTATTGGGACAAGAAGCAGTACATTTCAACTAAATCAGCCGTGCGGAGAAATCTCAGCAGTTGACATCTGATGAACAACATAAGACAACACAAAAACGAAACGGGTCATTTCTGTCTTCAGTTTTGAGACTGCAGAGAGCTGCTGAAAGGAGTGAAAAAAATCAAAAGTGAAAAAGCAGAATATGGAGGATGAAGTCAGGTAAATAAGAGGTAGGACACTGCATGAAAGTGAGGAAGACTGGAAAACATTAACCAGAATTAGCATAAGATATTCCCCAAAAAGAACAGAAAAAAGAAGTGGTACTCACTGAAATTAATTTTTCTAGGACTTCATTTATTAGAACCAGCTTAGACCAATGGCAGAAGTATTGAAACTACTACTAAATTTTTCACAGCTCATGTGCCCAATTCAATTTTTCTCCTATATTTTCCATTTCTCAGTTCATTTAACAGTTGGAGTTTTTCTTTTGCAAAGCAGCATATGAAATGATGTAGTCTGAGGTTTCAACTACAGACTCGCTTGTACTGTGAAAAAGAGAAATCTTAAGCAGCTTACATTATTGCCTTTCGTATAAAATACAACTGTAACAGCCAAGTTCGACACTTAAGATTAAGCCATCTCAAAAATTCGACAAGAGTTTTTTTATAGTGGACTCACATTTTTACACCAGTGTGATACCTACTACTACAAAAGAATAAAACCAACTCTTTTCCAAGTTCAAATTGTTTCAACTGTAGAACCAGAATATTTGACCTCCTGTTCTGCTCTTTCCCCAGGCAATTTCTACTGAGCCCATTAAACACGATAATAAGCAAGAATGAACTGATCTTTTGCTGTCAACAAAACTGGCAGACATTTTCAACTAGTTCAACTAGTACTTCAAAACAGAAATACGTGCATGTATTTTAAAGAAAGTCTCTTCAATGCATCTAGCTTAAAATACATATGGAGAAAAAAAGACCAACCAAAACAACCCAAAAATCAAGCTGAAGAGGAGAACAATCTGAAATTTCCAGGTAGGAGATCAAGGCACCCTTTAAAAGGTAAGGTGGAGTTACTTCTAAGAACATGCAACCTGTCAGGTTATACCACTCGGTATCTATTTCAGACTGAGTTCTCTACATTATCTTTAATTACATAAACTGTGGTTTTTGTTAAAAAAAATAATTGTGAAGCGTAAGTTGATCATTACTTTGTCACTGAAGTAAGAGCTTATTCTCCCACCATTTTCTACTTTTGCCTACAAATGGAACCAAATGACAAGTTGAGCATATTTATACACACCCAGGTAACAGGCTGTGTTATAGCAAAGGAATGTTATTTACCAAGAAGCCAGCTGTCCTTAAACATTTATTAAGAATGCTGCAGCAGCTCAGTCACAGTCTATACCCGAAGAAGGTATGCCACTCTGTGAGGGACTCCCGGTAGAGTATCAAGAGAAATCAAATGCCTGCAGTCCTTTGTTCGAGGTATGTTGAGATGAGACTGTCACAAATAACATCAGAATGCCCAAACTGGAAGCTTACTAACACCCACGCACTTTTTGGCGCAGCGAAACTTTCCGCCCCGAGATGACTCTTCACACAGACCACAAAGCTCTTTCAGGGAAACTCGCAAGTCTTTGAACCAGCCTCCAGAAGAAAATGTAAAACATACCAACTCACTTCGCAGCCTTGTCTTTAAATACAGAACACTTTTAGCTTTGCTATTTTTCTTTTTCCCCTTTCCATCATCACACCAAGTGCTTTTATGAGAGCTCCAAACCTCACCAGAAAGCCGAACAGCAATGCGCAGGGTCTCTTCATGGAAGAGGAGAGGCAAAAGACTACACCCACGTGTGCCAATCAATTCTCTTAAAAGTCCCTGTACTCATGGCCATAACTAGCCTGCTAAACAGCCACTAAGGAGTTATAAGCACCTTTGGGTTACACAAGAAAGACCACCTATAAACATGAAATTGCAACAAAGAAAAACAGCACTGAAGAATTACAACTTTTGAAAAGGCAAACTACATAGTTTAGACATCAGAATTAGCCATATAAAAATGTCAAAAACACTCTAACAGTTTATACAGTAAGACAGGGTTGGGTTTTTGTTTTTTTTTTTTTGCAAGTGTTTTCCTTGGTCAGTGAAGTATTAGGTCAGTTTACTGGCAATATAAAGGGAAGAGAATATATTACTCAGTTTGCTAAACACAAAACAAAAATAAAAATGGGCTTGGTTTTACAATGAAATGGGATGTAAGGAAAAAAAGTTTTCTTTATCACCAATAATAATACTGAGTAAAATAAATAAAGTAGTAAATAACACTTTCATAGATTAGTAGGTAACCTTGGAAGGGGAGTTTGCCTTACCAGCCCTGCATAGCTGTAGTTAAACCCCAGTTCACGTGATATAGTCCAGTTGGCATGCTCTTCAATCACCGTCATGTCTGGAAACTTCACAGGATTGCTAAACCAATCAAATTCCAGCTCTAAACATGGAGTTTCCTGTTTAAAGAGCATTTAAATTATTTTTTTCTGGTGAATGATACTGATTAGAACACAGCATATTTTGAAAACGTACTCATGAGAAGCACGCTGGCATGCAAGTCCTTACCTTATTTGGGTTTGATCCAGTAACACCAATAGGATTCAACAAATCCTCCAGCCCATGAGGTACTGCCCAAAGATTCAAAGCCATTTTCCCAGATACGAGAGTGTCTGTGTAATCAAACATGTTTATATTTCCCCAAGCCAATGGACAGTGCTCCTTCAAGAGATGAAAACATGATTTTTCAGTGTCATTTGTTAATTACTGCAGAGCGAGTCAGAAGAAACAACGTTTTCACCCCAGAGCAAGTTATTACATTCCCAGATTAGCAGGTTGCGGAAGCTGTACCATATTTTTCCGTGAATGACTGCCATGACATCATTTTGCCAAATGATATCAAAACACTTGCTAACACATGTTAACATCTTCCCCACATCAAAATAACTCAAGATGATGGAGAGAGGCTTTTCTTGACAGAGAGACTTTTGACCAAAGCCTGCAGTGACAGAACAACGGGCAACACTTTTAAACTGAAAGACTGGTCATAAAAAATAATTTTTATTTTTAAATAATAATTGTGGTCAGACACTGGAACAGGTTGCCCAGAAAAGGTGTGGATGTCCCATCATTGGGAATGTTCAATGTTAGGTTGGACCAATCTAATCTAGTGAAAGATGTCCCTGCTCACGGCAGAGGTGGTTAGAACTAGATGATCTCTGAGGTCCCTTCCAACCCAAACCATTCTCTAAGATTTGTAAACCTGTTTGTAGACAAAAAACCCCAAACTATATAGTACCTGTGACATACACTCAGACTCGGAATGTAATGATGCTGGTGGTTAGAACTAGATGCTCTATGTAGACTCTCAAAAATTACTATCCGAGATCTTGCATCAAATGCTAAAGCAGCAGCAGTTTTCTTTACCTAAAAAGTCAAGTCTAAATTCAAGTATAAATATTGTCCCTTTCTTATAGCTAGGAAAATAATATACAGCACTTGCCCCTCAAAACACTAACATTGATCTTTCTTTCTGACAATAGAATACAGACATGATTTACAGCGCTGAATGGATAAGCTTTTTTCCACGTTTTCCACAGGACAAAAAAGCGGTAGTCTGAATAAGAAATAACCAATGAAAACCCTCTATTTAAAACAAAAGCAAATCAGACATTGCACTAAGACTCATTGCCAGGACAGCATTTACCAAATATCTTCCCAAACTTGACTTTAGGAGTCAGTACACTGACTCCATTAGTGTTTTAAAGCCATGAAGTATTCTACCTCTTTAGCACCCTTTCGGCCTTTAACAGAACAGATAGAAAGGCAGAGCCGAGCAGCGCGTGGAAGATCAGGGATGTACATGTCATACAACAGCCATTCATTCCACCTGTGAGATTTAAAAGCAGAATAAAACCAGGTTAAAGGAGAGCACAGAGACTGCATTCAATCAACAGTTACACTAAAAAGCATTTGTTATACTCCTACCTAAACTGTATACGTGCATAAAGAGGACACTTTCTTAGTGAAAGAGGGTCCTCCTACATGTATTTGACCACATCCACTTCTTTTGGGAATGGAAACTTCTGCGAATAGTTGTCTGGCACCAGCATTGCTTAAAAAAGCCACACGAAGCACAATTCCTGCAAACTTAGTAATAGAGTCAGTCGCCTTCACTCTTGTGAACCTACTGACTGCAACTGTCACACAGGTATAACCTAAAAGATAACGGATTTACGTATGTGCTTTAATTCGGGGAGAAAAAGCAAGTGGGGAAAAAAGTGGCATCACTTTCAGAACTCAACTAAATTTGAACTGCTGGAAAATAAGGTAACTGCAAGAGGGGAACATAACACAGAAATTGAACAAAGAAATCCAAAGCAATATTCCTAACTCAAGTATTCTATCTACCATATTACTTAGAAGACAAGCCGGTTCTACGGGAATAAACATTTTGCTTTCACTAGCTTCTCTTGGTAGACTTGATCTCTCATTTGGTAAAACTGTGTTTTTGAAGTGGATCTTCCACATATAGTTTATATTCCTAAGCATACTGCCATGCTGGATTTTCTCAGTTGGAAGAAGCAGTAGCTTCCAAGGACACCATTAATTTTTTCCATGTGTCTGTAGCAACTAAGAGCAGCGTTTTACAAAGAAATAATTGTCCAAGTCCACGTCTAAAAATGAAGAAACTGGCAGATAAACTTCAATTCGCTTTTCTTAAACGTTCATTTCATATAAATACAGATCTGTGTGACCATATTTGTGTTATCAAGCCATATCCTTCACCATCTTTCAAGACGATTTTTTTAAAACAGCTTAACTATTAGTTCAAGTATAACTTTATTTGGGGCAACTCAGAGAGAGGCTACTTTCAACAACTATGTGTATTATTAGGCCTTCTAATTATAAAACCTGATCATATTCACAGAAAATGTACTGACAAAACCAAGTTTCAAAACATATTAGTAAGACATGAAGTCAGACAGAAAACACAAGTCAAGAATTTCTTCTGAACACCTCCTTTGCATCTAATCCTAGCAGATGCTGAAATTTCACACCCCATTAGTCAAAGTTACAGGAACATTTTTTAGGTACTTGTTTCATATGAGCATATATAAACATATTGAGAACTTCTTTTTGCATTTTTAAGTTCATGTGATTTATTTTTCCAGATAATATTCACAGTAGGTCAAATCTCCTGAAAACAATCAGTCCAGATCTGGCAATGGAAGATCACTTTCCACGTCAGCAAATGATAGCTATCACTCCACACTCGGTGGTCCTGCTCTAGGGCAAACTGCACCACCTCACCAATTGAAATCCACAGATTACATGACATCACATTGTCTCGCATTGAAAGTGAAACCTGAATCTGCACATCAAACACCTGCTATTGACCCACAGATTTAAAAAAAAAAAAAAGGTTGCATCACCCAGAGCTATGCTCATTTCACAGGATCAATAAGCTATTACACTTGAGTTTGAGGCAACTGTAAATGCATGTATAAATCAGACCTGCTCACACCTGTTACATGCAAGGCAAAATCTTTGTCTTTGAACTTGATTTTATTTATAATACATGGATATGTAAAAAAAATTTTTACAAGTCTTAAGGTAAGGAATTCCCAGCAAGGAGCTCTACCTGAATAATGGCTACATCAAGCCTTTGCTCCTTCAGGGCTATAATTTATGATACCCTGGAAGTCAAGTTCTCTACAGTCATTCAAGCTTACCTGGGATTAGAACAAGGAACCCTCTGAGTATTCACATTGTCACACAAAGGTTCCCCTCCATGGTAGATGCCTGTTCTAACATAGATCTGAAAACAATGTTGATGTTAGTACTGTCTTTGAAATGTTACTATAAACAAATGCTTTCACTGATATTGTGTACCGCAATTACAACATATTAGCCTTTCATTCTCATCAAGCAAGAAACCAAAACCAAAACTGAAAACCAAATGGCCCCATCACTAACTCAAGTACATTCATGTCCTGTAAGGTGTGAAGCATACCCTTCTAGAAAAAACATTTTCATATTTTTCATCATTAATTACAAAACTAGGTCTTACAAAAAAAAAACCCACAGCAAAAAACTTGAAATAAACACTAAAGCCACCCCTGGAACTTATTTTCAATTTCTTCCTGTGCTGAAATAGAGTGAAAGAAGAGACAAAACAAATTCTGAGGAAGTTTGAAAGCCAGACTTGTAGTAGGACTTCAACGGGATCGAACCTTACCTGCCTTTTCTCCTTCATCTCCCCACACCTCCCTTCGCAAAAACAAAGATAGCAGCACACTATCCGGCATCCCCTCAACAAATGTGTTGCCTGTTACTACAATACATTCTTAAACACAGTAATTTTTTAGATTATAAATAATCTGTGGTTTGTTTTTTTTTATCCATGACATATCTGGCTGAAGTGAACTATACAAACTGAGTCCTGCTCCTATCACGCAGAAAATTTAGCTAAATGCCACAAACTCACACTTTCGAAGTAATATAAAAAAAAGTTTCCAGATGCCGAAATATGGCTGAATTTTTTAGAATTGACTACTTATATCTAAATAGCAAAGTGGCCTAATTTTCTAGCATGTTAAATAACACTTCTTTTCCAATGTAAACACAGAGCAGAAAACTCAGGAGGGAAACCAGGAGTTGCCAAAACCCACACAGCGTTCACCTTACCTTGTCTATATCTCGGATGTTCACATTTACATAGGTGGCACAGAGGATTCTTATTCTGAGCGCACTGTTTATAGTCCAGAGGGATTTGGCTGTAGCTTCACCATTCATGTAGGGTGTAGCTGTAGAGATGCGCCTGGAGTAGGACGGCATCGTAAAGGTGTCCAGTGGCAGCTGGTTATACAGGCTTTCCTTCGCCATCAGCATCAGGTTGGGCATGCGACCAAGCATTATACAGCTTCGTATATACTGCAAGTAAAAAAAAACCAAACCAACACCCAAAATTCAGAATGCTTTCAAAGTTTACGCTCTTAGTAATCTATACTTAGAAACAGTCAGGGAAATACAAAAGGGTAAAGAGCTTATCGTTGTCCCCGTATGTACACCCTTTAGGGTGTCCACAGTTACAACACCCAACAGTTTAAATACGTTGTTGGGCACGACTGCAGAGCAGCACTTTGTACAGATTTTGATATCTGAATAACATCTACAGCAGTGGAAGACTGAACTGGAGATAGACAACAGAGCTCACAAAATAACAAGTTGGGTTTCTCGCCTTAGCTCTGGCGCAGTGTGGCACAAACAACACAGGCTGCTTCCAGGTTAGGGCTGCTCCTGGCAGCAGCTGAGCTGCTTTTGCAGGGCACTGCTGTACCAACGCGGACTGGCACACGTGACACCAATACTCCCGGTGACAGTCAGAGAGACACTCATTTTTACTTCAGTGCTGCTTGTTCCCTTACGCTCAGCACTGAACTGACAGACCCCAGCTGTAGGCCCGGAGAGTGTCCATTCAGGACGGAGCGCCAAGAGCGTTTACTCTGGCAACAGTACCCCAAAATACCACGTGGCAAGACAGGTCCAGCCCTGGAGGGTAATTAGCAAGCTCTTTTGAGGCACAGCAAAGGCACAGCAGATACTTCTGAAGAAACCACGCTAGATCAAATAGGCCCAGCGTTTGATCTCGAGATGACTGTGCAAAATTATTCATGTATGCCTCCACTTGTTCTCCAGCTTGTACAGAACAGAGCTGCTTTTCCCATTACTCAGGATCCCCCAGCCCTCTTCTCTCCCCTGCTGCTCTGGAGAGCAAATTGTCAACCATTTTAGACGAAGGCATGGAAGCTGTTTGTTACAACAATGCATTCCTCAAAGAGGAAGCAGCAGCAGTCTGTCAGGAAATGTATAAGGTAACGTTGTCTGCTCCAGAGGGCTGCTCAGATGCTCTTCTGTCAGCAGTTACGGCACTAACGAAACCCAGGCAATGAAGGACAGCCAGCCACAAAAAAAGGTTTAACAACCATTTATGTAGAGCTCCAAGTTTATCACTCCTTTAATAGGATTAAAAAATGTAAAGATGTAACAGGAAAACACAGTTTAGATTTTTTTTTCCACTCCTGAAGGGAGGGACAAGATTCACAGTTGCAATTGTTGCCTCATAATTAAACATCTGTTCCTTTTGTATTACACCAAGCCCATTCAAGCGTAACTCAGCGCCATCAGAAATGTAGCACAGGTTTAAAAGTACCTACAACTGATTTATCACTAATGTTAGAGGTAAAGTACTTCATTCAAGGAAGAAAAAAAAATTACACCAGTAACATAAATTCTAGCTTAAAACACCTTTTCTCCTCGCCTCTCTTCTGAAGCACATACAGCAACATATATGCATACTGCACTCACGCACTAGCCAGTTAGTGTAAAGACACATTCATTCTTACTTCCTGCATTTTGGATTAATTTAATGAAAAAGCAAGTCAGTCAAAACTGATCACAAATTTGTCACAAATTTGGATTATTTGAGTGCATTTCAGAATAAACTCACTATGTTACTCACCTTATACTGGCTCAGTGGATGTTTTTCTAGCAAGTATTCATCACAGCCACACACTTTTAAAATATACTTGCCCTGATACTCCAAGACACAAAGTTTCAGTTGTTCAGATGACAGCAACATGCTTCGTGTTTTCTTCCTAATTGCTTCAGCAATAACTTGCTCAGGCACACAGTCATGATTGATTTTTAAGGTGTATTTCTGCTTATCATTGTTTGGTGAGACTATTACCCATATCACCACTATAATTTGCCCTAGAAGAAATGCAAAACAATGTTAGGTCTATCATTTTCAATATTGTGTCAAAACAAACAAACCAACCAACCACCAAAACCGAAAGACCCAAAACTAACAACTCCTCCACCTGCCCCCAACGCAGACAATTGTCTGCAGTACTGCTGAAGAGGCAGACAAGATTCACAACCCAAACTGACAGCAGGTTACTAGGTTCTGCAAGGAACTAGGCATGCTCATTTTTTTTTTGACTGCAGTGTAAATTCAAACTTTTATAACTTGAAGTTAAGAATATTGTTATTAACCGAACACTGCTATGTAGCCTTCAAGAAAACACCAGTAACTACTTAATATTTCAGGACCACAGGATAACTCAGCACCATTTTAAATTCCAGAAATCTGAATATCAGAGAAAAGAAAAATACAAAGCCAACAAGCTGTTTCTGCCCATTAAAAGTCATCTCTATTAAGTTATATACCAAGATTTAGTTATTAAATAGCAAAAAATGTCATTAAGTGTTGTCTTCCTTTTGAATCTACCTGCTATCCAGAAAGTTATTCTGAATAACTTGAGGTGTAAGATATTGCTAGAGTGTACTAAATATAGCACATAAAGTAGTGATTCACCTAAGTCACCCGCTGTACTCTTTGATTTCTATCACTGAAAAGCAAATTATGTTTTCTCTTGTAAATATTTATCTTACCTTTATCTAGTTTGTTGTATATGTGTTTGGGTAGCTCAGGTGAAGACTCTATATTTGGAGGACAGACATACAAAGCTCTACTATGTGGTGCATTGGCATCTCGAAGATCCACTGCTTCTTTACAAACATTGAGAATATTTCTCCTGAAGTCTTGTACTTCTGGATCCTTAACCATGTCAAACTCACACACAGGCATGCCAATAGCAAAACCTACAGTATTGAAGAAGCATGAGGAAATAACTGTAACTGACAGTTAAAGCTAAAGAATCCTTCTATCGGTGACAGAAAAAGCATGCTCTAAGTGAAACACAACTGAAAATACCTGTTAATCTCTGGCTTCTACTTGTACACATATTGTTTTACTTCATTCATGAACAACTCAGTTCTTAAGTGCACTCAGCAGTCACAAAAAAATGTTAGGAGACAGGTGTACATTCACAGAAGCTCCCAAAGCCTTAAATCACCCCTCTCACAGCTAACGCTCCTCCCGGAGGAAAAGTACCAGTAGTAAACTTCCTTTGAAGTCAGCACAAAGTTTCAAAAAGGGACCAGAGGAGCTGTGAAGTCCGATTTTTTCTAAAACCCTGTCAGGATTATTGGTAGCTGTTAGGACCATAATCAACTTTGCTTACAACTGAATGACAGCTATTTGATTTTTCTGATGCTATTTAAAAATGTGACAAGCGCTGCAAGACACACTGAACTTGGTTCTTTGGCCCAGAGTTATGTAATAAAAGTCCCTTTCTCTCAGGTCCTACGTCTCTAAAGTAATTCCATTTACTTTAATGAAATTACTTGCATAAATAATTATTTACACATGAACAGTCAAATGGAAACTTTCAACTGTCCTGCTGCATGGTTAGCTCACCACCGTTGTCCCTGTTTTGACAGGTTAAGCTTTACGAAACAGAAGTTTATGTACGATACATTCATAATAATTAAATAATTTAACAATTAGGAACACCCCAGAACAAGTATTTCCAGTCGACAAGACTCTGCTGGTGCAACGCACATCTCTTAGCAGCTGAAAGGGTGTAGGTATGTTTGTACTGCCTCAATTTAAACCCTTAGCCTAGACACTAGAACACACGTTAGCCTCCCTGTGCATTTTCAGAGGATAATGGAAAATGATAATCTACAACGAATTTGTCTCACCTCTGCCCTTCCCACTTGAGGTGGTTTTGTTACCCTTCCCCATGCTCTTCTTGTAGGCAAGAGGAAGAAAAAATCCTCAAACAAATAAACCCACCTTATTTCTGAGATTTTACTTTGTAAGCAAGTTAGAGCAGTATCTATCCCAAATAAGAATTGAGATTTTACCATCTGTAAACTTCAACAGAAATTAAGACTAACTTCCCAAACAACAGAACAGGCATCGTTCTGTTAACAAGAAATCCTGCTAGTAAGAGACAAGCAAAAAATATCCTCTAAGCCTCATACAACTACAAACATGTTCAAGGCAAAGACTTCACCTGTGAATGAAAGAGAATAGCAAAAAAAATTAACTCACAACTTACAAATGTCTACTTTATGATGATCAACATCTTCAGACATTTGATGCAACAACTGACAGTTATGAAACGCAAACTCTGACAGATGCAGGTAACAAACATTACCCATTTCAATTCTTTGGTTTGTATTTTGAAAAAAAGACAGTAAACCACATCAGCTATGTTTAAATAATCTCACCTATTTCTCTATTAAGGATCTTTTCTTCTCTGTTACCTACTGGTTCAATGACTTTTAGAAAAGGCTGAAATAGTCGCAGGTCACAAAGTCTCCGTGTTTCATCAAAAAATTCTTCTCTTTCTGCTTCTTGTGTAACACTTACAAAAATGTAAGAAGATTCATCCTGAAGGAGCTGATAGAGAGGGTATTTCCTCGCTTCTTTAAAGAGTTCGTGTTTAATAGTTAGTAAGGTGGCCTCACGGAGGCATTCTAGAGTCACTATCATTCCATTTGGGAGAAGACACTCCACAAGGATCCTCGGTGGCATCAAGTGGATGCCCCATAGCTCACCAGATGATGGTCGTGGAGGCATTTTTAAGTCTTTAGATAGCTTAGTACTGGAAGGTTTTCAAGCAGTGATTCATAGAAGTAAACCTAAGTAAAAATCAGAAATGTAAATATTAATACAAAAATGTCACAAGGAATCTCAGATAAAATTGTTCAAATACCACTTATAACTGTGGATGAATACTCATAGCTGCATTTTACACACGTAAAAAGAAAGACTTGATAAAACTGATGTCTAATGAACCTGTATTTGATGTAAACGTCTACTCAAATAAAACCATTAATAGCAGAATCGCATCAGTTTGATAAAATAAATGCCAATATACATACAGACTTAAAAATAAAGGACTAATTTCATTACCTGAAGTTTATAATTTATTATTAGAACACTTAAAAGCAGCATGGGGGATGAAAATATTTAAATTATTATTACAGCAATTTTTAAGCAAACATCAAGTCCAGTTCTTCCCATTTTTAATTTGGAAAGAGAAACATTTATTATCACTTGGATGAGACATAAACCATCACCTCTGCTCAGTTTAGCCATAATGATACTCCTATTTATTTATTTAAAACCTTTTTCTCATCTCAAACCTATTAGGTGTTGAAACACCACTACCACAACAGTTTTAAGTATTTACTCACACTGCCAACAACCCATTTTTTTCCATGAATGAGACAGAAGAACTGAGTTCCATTAACATTTTTTCAGCTGGGCTTGTTTTATTTAGGATCAGTCCCCTGTCCTAGTTCCTTCTGGCAGCAGCATTAATGTCTTTGCCAAGCCAAAGGAGAGGAGAGGAGCACGTGTCTGACCTTCTAGTGGTGCTCTCTTATGCCAGCTTGGAGCAGGTACAAGAAAAATCGGATCTGGACAGAGAAGGGATGTCTTACAGCCCAGTGGCCAAGAACAGGTGCCACAGAGCAGAAGCAGGCAGGCACACAGGGATATTTCATCAATAAACTCTCCTAATCACCATCTATTTTTAATTTCCTAAACCAGAGGCAATGTTTATGTATTTGTGAAAGAAATCCATCACGAACTACTGAGTTTGTTTGGGAACTTTTCACACACAAGCTCTTGACATCCTGTGACAAGAGTGAGGAACACTGTGTTACAAAACAGTTGCTTTTCTTTGTTCAGCAGCCTGCTCCTTTCACTTCATAGCCTAGATTTCTTGTCACAAAACAAAGTTCTTTAACTTTGCATTCATTTCTCTTAATTTTACCAAGATCCATTAAGTCCTCCTCACTACTAATTTTCCATAATAGACCCAGATTTAGTCCTTCTCTGGTCGAAAGTCATTCTGCATTTTTTGTCAATCCTCATCATCTTCTCCGTATCTCTTCTACCCCGCTGTATTTTGCAAGGTAGAGACTGAACAACCATATCTGCATTCAAGGTCCAAAGTGAGGCTATTTACATAGTGACACAACACTTCCTACTGCTTTCTTAATAAGTGGCTTTTTGGACTGCCACTGAGCAATGAGACCTTTCCACTGAGCGGCACCTTAGACCCAAATTCTCACTGCAGAATATAAGGTACTGCAAAACCTAGCATATGTGACGCAAATCTCAAAGAGCACATTACTTACACTTAGCTCGTAATTTCATTAACTTCAGCAAGTACATTATGAGAGGGGGTAACACCAACAGACATCTAAAGAGCAGTCCATCGTCCATCATGCCTCCTCCATCAACCAAGTGTCCTGAAAGCACTGGGCAAAGGTAACTACCAGGTTACTCTTCTAAAGCCATTCTTAGTCACCCTTTAAGCCAAGAACCCTCTTAGGATTGCCCCTCTATCTTAGCTTCTTAAAAACAGAAAGGAGGGGAAAAACCTCAAACCAGCAGCTTCCGTTTCATCAGCCATCTCAAAGCTCTCACTGTGGAAAAGCAATGAATGTTATGCTTGCCCTTTGCTCAGCAAGTTTTTAAAATATATATATATTTATATATGCATTAAATATATAACAGTATAAATAGAAAAAATACATATATGTTAAAAAACAACACCATGATCCTCATTTCTGCACTGGTATTTATTTTCTAAGAAGCCATGGTATCTATTTTCTGAGAAGTTTTCTTCCAAGTACATTCAGAAACTGCTGTTGCCACACTTCAGTTCTTAAAAAGAAGCATTAGAATGAAAATGACGCTTTCCCAAATCCCCTGCTTCCTAAGCAACTCTGAGTAGCAATAGGGTTGTCTTCTTTAATCCTTCCTTTGTAGTTGTAGTTTGGGCTTTTAAAAATATCAACATAAGTATGAAAGTGTCACTGCAAGTTTAGAAAAACACTCTTCCACTAACACCTCATGCATTAGTTAGAAGGGCTTTGCAACTGACTTCTTTTCAAAAAAAGAGCTCAAAGAAGCTACTTTATTTTCCTCATTGTTGCAATAGTCTCAGTGAGAAGATGCTGAAATAGAAAGTTCTAAGCATACTCACAGTGCATTTGAAGAGCCAAACTTGGAAAGCTCACCAGTTACAAAACATTACAAACGAACCCAAATAACACCACTCAAATAACTGGGAGAAATCTATATACCAATAACTGACCTCAATTTACGGATAAGAAGTATGCAGATGGTCACAGAACATCTTTTTCATCAGGGAAAGCATGAACAAAATTCCCTCTCCATACTGCTGAATCACATGCTTGTTTATGTTTCTTAATTACAAGCACAGGCAGAAACACTGTTAAGGCATATGCCTTAACACTTATCCATGTTAAGGCATACGTCAGCATCAAAAAAACCCAAAAAACAACAAGAAAACCCCAAGAACATGCAGTCACATAAGAACCTTTCTGTCCAAATATACAAACAATGATAACGTAAGACGGACCATGATCAAATCAAATACAAACTGAGTTTACACCAGCAGTCGATATCAGACAGTTCCACGATCCTGCCAAGGCTCTGACGTGGAAGCAAGAGCTCATCTCCTCCCTGCCCACCCCGGCGTTGCTCTCCTGCTTCACCTGCCTGGCACCGGGGCTCCCTGAGCCAGCTCTCTGCCGAGCCAGAGCAACTGAAGGGGCAGAGAACTCCACACTTTGCCTTTGCTGCATTAGCTTCCGCTGCTTTAGCTGCCCCACTGACATCACAATGGAGTCAGATGAACACCAGGGTCAACATCATGTCTTGAAAGACTTGCAAAGGGACACCCCAAAAATCTACACTCTTTTTAGAGCAACTGCATCAAGATATCAGCTTCTGTTTTAGACCGGGATACAGACAGGTAGTGGAACGGTGTGTACAGTCATTCTGTGTGCACACTGATTTGACATGCACATGGAAGCACGCCTCCAGGGTTTGGATTTGGAAAGCAAAAATGTAAACAGAAACAGTTCTGAAGTATAGCTGGCAGCTTGTGTTTCTGTGTACACTTTCAAATCTGGAAGGCTGCCTGGAATAAACAGAATCAATTACGTTCTTCGACAGTAAAAGGACTATAATTTTAAGATAATTCTAGAGAGATGTTATTTAAATCCAACTAAGGGTACATGCAAACACTTCAAATGAACACCACATCACACCTGCAAGCCCTGACCTTCCAAAACCACCTTCAACTTGCTTCCCCCTGCCAAAAGCTCTGAAACACCACAGATGGTCTGAAAGGCAGAACTCAAAGACACCCCAAACCCCCCAAACTGCATTCTTTTCAACTCACTACAGCCTTTCTGATCCATTCAGCATATCCTCCATGAATAATCTGGCTGAGCACCCAACCTAGACACAATCAAATTTTGAAGTTAAGGTACCTCCCAAAATACCAACTCCTACTTGCTTCCATATACATTTATCATACTAATACTCATTTACATAATCTATTTTTTTATAGGATAGAAATCACCTATTGCCTGATATAGCTGATATAGTCTTTTATTTAGAATAATGGATTCCAAGTTAAGAAAATTTGGAGTTGGTAAACCCTTAAGACAGTTTTATCATCTCACAACACTGAATTGTGCAGAACTGCAGCAGCACGGTTAACTCTATTTCATTCTATTGAATATTCTATTAGCAGTTACAGCCTACAACTGTTTTTCTAATGCCTTCTTGACAACATACAAACATGTTAGCTATGAAAAGGTTTACATGAGACTATCAAAGTTTGCTGCTACTTCTTCTGAAAAGAATTTTATCCCTTGAGGAATAGAGCTCAACTAGGGAGAAATTCAGTTAAGAATTGTACTACTGGAGAGCTAACATTGGTTCCTAACCAAATTCAAAGAATTCATAATTTACGCAAGCTAAGCTTGAAACAAATTAACTTGAGTCAAAAAACCCACATCTATTTTTCCCCTAAAGACATGCGAAGCTACTGCAGCCGTTTTCATCACGCTTGTACACAAGTCCCGTGTATCTACGGCTCAGCAGGACACCCCGGCATATTATTTTGCTGTAAGGGGCTTTTATACATTAACATTTTGCCAGAAGAATCTCAAGCAGGATTGTTGCCGATCTAAGTTTTACATGTCTTGCTAAAAGGAAGGACTGCTACCCTTCAGTACAGATGGAATCTACATTTCAGAAAAGGGCAAACAAGAAATGACTTTACATGAGCTCTTCTATCAGAAATACAGAGAACCTTTCCTTGCTAAGAGAACACTCACTTTTACAGATTAAATGAATTGATTTGCACTGTCTAGAAGTTCCTTACAAACATTCTACTGACTCCACACAGACAGCAATATTCTGCAATTAAGATACTAGGGAAAACCAGTTAACTTAGAAGGCTTTTTTTGCTGTTTTGTAAGTTATCTGTGAGCATGGGATACTTCTGCAAAGAGGCACAGATTTCAATGAGTGAGAGAGAACTGAATAACTTGGCATCGCCATAAACATCAGCTAGTGTTTAAAAAAAATAAAAAAAAATCAAAGGATAGACTAAACAGTCAACACAATTTTAGCATTCCATACTTGAAACTGAACTAGTCATTCAGTAAGCTACTACATTTTAATTGAAGTCCATTAATTTGTCCAGTCACAAGACAAATCCCATTACATTACTTTCATAGGCAGGACATAGCAATGCTTTCTAATAATTTGCAGTATCATTGGCATTAAAGAGCTG